TATACAATTTTGTTTGTTGGTTGTGTAGAAAAATGTACCTAAATTAGTACAAATTTATATGTGAGATAACCCTTTAAAAATCGATCATCATATATGACCCTAACTAAGTTTTGATCAATTAGTTTATTGAACACCCTAACGTACAGTACGTACTGTACGTACTGTACGCTAAAAATTTTCAGGTATCATATAAACGGCACATCACTACTCCAAACACTATTAAAATCTAACATGATAATAATAACAAAATAAGATGGGTGGCGTAGTATCATAAAATTTGTTCTGAAAGAACAAATTATTGGCTGAAATGTGCCGTTGCGCAGCACATGTCAATTAATCATCTGCTCTGACAAAAAAATTTCATGATATTAATTGTTGCATGGCCAATATTTATAATATATGATAACTGGTTAACACGTAGATATCTGGTGAACTTTATCAGGTTAACTTAAAAGACAATATAATCCATATATGAGCGACGCCAAAGAAAAACTGTGCTTCAATCATATGAAACTTAAATATTTGAAGCCCCATTTTCCCTTGGCTTCGTTCATATGATATTGGTTGATATTAGTTATTTCAATGTATACTTTTTAGACCCCGTTTTACATATCAATTATCGCTGTTTGTATATTGATGTAACTTATATAATGATTGAATTAAAATTTATGAAATACAGTATTATTTGTTAAATTAAAAATTCCGCTCAAAGAATACTCAAATAATCTTGTAGAAATTTACGTTCATGGTTTTATGTGACAGCGTCGCGCAGCTACCTTACTAAATTAGACAAATTTGAATATAGTAAAAAATCGAAATTATATAATAAAACGTGTCAGTTAAAATTTAAATTAGCTCTTTTAGGAATAATTCTGGCATCTAATTTTTTGCAAATAGCCATTACTGACGGAATAATTTCAAGGGGTGCCTTCATATTTACAAGTTCAATATCAAACTTTCTATAAATTAAAGTTAATAACATTTTCATTTCATTCATTGCAATTTTTCTACCCGGACAATTTCTTAAACCTGCTCCAAATGATGTAGATAAAAAACTATACAACTTATCAGTCTCTTGAGGTTTGAAGAATCTTTCCGGAATGAATTTATCAGCATCTTTCCAATAAAGAGGGTTATAATTAATTCCAGGAATATACAACGTGAATAAAGTATTGGATGGCCATTTATATCCCGCTACTTCATCAGGTTCTCCATTATATCTCGTAAGAGTGGCAGTTGGTGATCGTATTCTTAACGACTCTAAAATAATCGCTTCGCAATACTTTAATTTTTCAAGATCATCTATTGTTATTTGTCTAGTTGGATTATCCTTAAAAACTGAGTTGATCTCATCTAATAACTTCTGTTTGGCATCTGGGTGATGTGCAATATTATATAATGCAAAGCTAAATGCACTTGCAACCTATTAACACGATCATACATATAAAAACATTTATAATGTCAACAATGGAATTAAAAACTT